TTATTGAACCCAGACATTATTGGTGGGGTCAGGGTATAAGGCATATAGCGCCACTATTAATGGTGCTATGTAAGTTTGTCAGTATAACGCCACTAATAGTGGCGCTATATAGTAACGGTACAGTTAACATTACTGTATAGCGCCACTATTAGTGGCGTTATATATACTTTGGTAACTTTTTTTTTTACACTTATTTTAGTATTTTTAGTAAAAAATAACAATATTTTGGTTCCGCACTCCCAAAAAATATCTGATTCGGCGGACTTGAATCCATTGGATAAAGCCGATGATGTTACTGCATATTAAATGAAAGATGGTTGTGATTTGAATTACGTAATTCATGCAACGTTACATATTAACTGAATTGGGATTGTTTGAAGTGTACCTGGGAGAGCTAACATATTTTGGAGTCTTTTAAAACTGGAAAATCATGCAATAGCTTTTATATATTGTGTGATTAGTCACAGAACAATAAATTTGAAATTTAAAGTTCAATGACTTTAACATTTCATGTGATCAAATGTACAAACACAAATATTTCAAGCCTAGCCTTCAAAAGTTTAAAGACTTTGACAAGTCTTGAAGTAGGGGCATTTGTAGGCTTATAAATTTTATTAAAACTAAATCCATAAAATAATTTGGATTATATTTAAAATTCAAGATATATTGGTCCAAATAAATATATGTGCTAATATAATTGAATTAATTACATAAGTCCAATATATATGGATTAAATAAATAAGTCTTAATCTATTGGGCTAAAGTGATGAGCCCACTTCATTAGGCCCAAAATGTCATCTTCCTAGAAGCCCAGTTTGTGTCAAATGACGTGGCGTGCCAAGTCAAACGGAAGAGCCAATAGGATCATGCCACATGTCAAAATGACAAGGCATGCCAAGTCACACTAAAAGGCCAATGAAATCGTGCCACGTGTGCAAGTGACATGTTCTGGCCAATCAAATGCAGTCATGTCACACTTCGATTTGATTGGTTGGAAAGAGTTTGTTCTTATCATGACTCCTCCCTTCCACAACTATAAATAGAGGTCTTCATAACTCAGAAAGACACCAGAAATTATAACAAGAAGCAAGAAAGAGCTCGTGGATCAAACGCTGCAAATTCCTCCCCAAGTTTCAGGCTTCAAGTTCAAGAACAAAGAACAAATCAAGTTCAAGTTCAAACAATCAAGCTCAAGCTCAAAAACAAGATCATCGTTCGAGGAAACAAATATATATTCAAGATCAAGCTCAAAGATCCTTGAATTTATTTACTATTGAAAGAAAGAATCAGAGGATTCATAGAGATTGTAACACTCAAATATTCGAAATAAAATACTACGATTGTTACGATATTTTCTGGTCTTTGATTTTATTTTCTCGAACCAAATTTATTGTCTACAATATGTTTATCGTGATGGTCAGAAATCTGGCCAACTCACAAATACTGACCGATAACTAATTTTTTTTAGAATTCTTCAAAATTGTAGGGCCGTATTATTTTCCTAGAACTTTTTTTAACAGGTCAAACAATAAACAGCGATTTTAAAAAGTTCAGCTAATTTCTTGATTATAATGTATGTAAATATTGTAAATACCTCCGTGGTCAGAAAAATCTTTCAATCAATTTTTTATGGTAGAAAGATCTGCATTCCTTATTAAAGATAGTGAGAAAGTCCCAACGACCACGTCAGTCATGCGTGGCACCAAATCAGTACCTAGTCGACTATCGTACCCAGAATCATTCCTTGGTTTCTCCTTCCTTTTCAGAGCAAAACAAAAGCATGGAAATAAATAAGGAGGGGGAATATTTAATTAAGCAGTAGATTTTTTTTTTTTTAGCTTTTTTTATACATAAAGCCAATATTCACATCATTATCATTATCATGATAGCATGAGAGCTCCATCATTATACATATATGTTGTATACATGCATAGGGTATAGGGTGGGCTGCTGTGGCTGCAGCTGCTTTTGTGAAAGGGGAAACGTCAGACAAATAATACACTACTTTTTATAGAGTTTGGTATATGGGCTATTGATTTTCCTTTTCCTCTGCTTTCACAGGTTATGCCGTTTCAGCCCCAGGTAAAAAAAATTATTTTTTCGTGTTTTTCTTTATTTTTATGTGATTTTGGTATCTGGGTATGGATTTTCTTGTTGTATTTCGATGGAGAATTGAGTTCCTGATCAGATTTGATAAGAAATTGTTTTCTTAATGAGGCTGTAAAGTTTAAAGTTTGATTCTTTTTAGCTTTGGGATTATGATATTGTTCTTTTGGGTATGAGTTGTAATCCTAATTTTGGGATTTATTCTTGTTTTGTTGTATGCCTATTGTGTTGGAATCTTTATGTTTATTGGAACTATTGCTAAAACTATTCTTATAAGGTTTTGGTTATTCTTGGTAAATTTTATGGAAGGTTAGATATAATTGTTTTTTGTGTGGCTATTCTGTGATGAACCTATGGAATCATGGTGGTGACTTAGGCTTTGGGGTGTGAAGTTGAGTTCTGGTGTTTTTAGGATAAATGTATCTTATTGAAGTTAATGGTTCTGTTGAGGCTTGGAAAAGCTAGTACTCTGTTCTGAAGAACCTTGATTGTACTTCTACTGCTGTATTGTTTTTTCTGAGGTTCTAACTAAGGGTACAATTAAGTTCTTTGAATTTCGCTATTGTTTAAATGAGTAATATTTTAATTGTAACTAAGATTGTATCTTTTTACTCATATGATCTTGTACCACAATGCAATGAGAGGATTATATGTGCTTTTAGTGATTGTTCATTGAACATAATGTGCTTTGAGGCTTTGAGCTACAAATATGACATAAGTTTGCTGTATAATTCTCAATCCAACTATTTAGTGTTTGTTCTTACTGCTTGATTGCAAGATGACATTTGTGATAGTCACAAATACTATTTTGAAGGCTGGTATATAAATAGATTTATAGGAAGGTTTTACCTGCAACTGCCTAATTATATCTTAATCTTGAACAACAATGATTGAGCTGATCTTAATGCCACTAATCCTGTTTAGTGCTTATCTAGGTGAGGATGTTGACTGGGATCCTTGATTAGAATGCTTGCAAGTTAATGTAATTTCATTGCTTAAGTCTTAACTTGTTAAATTGTAGCTCTGCCATTGTCTATCTCAAGCTTAGTTGGCTTCTCTGGGTATTTTTCTTTTGTTTAGTATTGTGCTGTGACATACTAACTCGTCTTCCCTGGTTGTTTTTTTCAGGATCCAGTAAACTTCAATTCCAAGAGAATAGTATTGTTTAGGACATGGAGCAAGTGTGCCTTTTCTCTGAATGCTTTGGGTATCGAGCTTTTTCATTTCAGGAAGTTCTTGATTGGCGATTCCTCATCCGTAGAAATTTCCTTCTTGTTTCCTTTGTCAATTGCACATAGTGAACAGCTCCTCTTGACTGTTCAGTACAGGAGGCAATTTGCAATTTCCATATAAGCTAGTGTGTTGGATGTTTAATGCAATTCCTCTAGTAAGCAGCACACCGTATGATGTCAGTTGTGACTGTACTGTTAACTACCTCGTGCAAATTTGTTTTTTCTAGCGCATTGCCGATACGACACCCATTCAAGACCCTTTGGAAACCATCCTCTGAGGTATTGCTGTGGGTTGAATGTTACTTTGTTATAGTGCTCATAATTTCTAATAGCCTTACATCATTTTTGCTGTCTCTGTCCATTACAGCGCTAAATCAGCAGATGCATGTATGCATAGTTGGAGTTAGTTAGCTTTTTGTACACTTGCTTCGGGTTTGGTAGTTTCTAGAGACCTGTCTTCACGATTCAGTTGACTGAAGACTTGGTATCAGGCTAAAGTGTATTGGAGGCAAGGAGCTAATGTGCTGTTGAGAAAGAAGTTTCAATCATCTCTTGAGCGTGTGATCGGCCTGTTGAATTTAGCTGTTTGAGTCTCGGTTAGCTTTGAAGTGGTATCAAGATGCATTGCAGCACTTGTCTTTGCTTGCTTTCTCTCCCCTGTTACGGTTTTGGATCTTTTAATGCCTTATATCTTACAAATAAGGCTGTGAAGCCCATTCGTCCTATCATTGCTGGTTCTACCCTCATCAGTTTTTCAGAAGGAAACTAAGGGGGATTTTGCTGAATCAGTCAGGCCACTAGTTCCTTTTAGTATTTTCTTTTCCAGTCATTCCGAGACCGAAAAAATTTCACTTAGTTTATGTGCTTGTTATCTCTCCGCCTTCAATAAATAAAGTGTCTTACGTGCTATTGAAGCTGCAAAAATGGAAAGGTGCTGGTCTCGTTCCCCTTATTGTTATTGATTTCTTTTTTCTGTATGCTCGTCTAATTCGTCTTAATGGTGCAGGTACAAGATAATTAACGAAGTTGGTAATGGCACATTTGGAAATGTTTGGCGTGCACTTAATAAACAGACTGGTGAAGTGGTAGGTGTAGATGTGCAAGGATCAACAAAGAACCTACTGATGTTGCTGTACTTTTGAAGTCCTTTTAATTCTATTCATTTGTCTAACACAGGTTGCAATAAAAAAGATGAAGAAGAAGTACTATTCATGGGAAGAATGCATAAACTTGAGAGAGGTCAAGGTTAGATGATTTCCTTCCTTTGGGCCATATTTGGTCTTTCCTTTGCTGAGGGTTCAATAGCCATAAATCCTTTTGCAGTCTTTGAGAAAAATGAACCATCCAAATATTGTGAAGCTCAAGGAAGTGGTTAGGGAGAATGACATTTTGTACTTTGTGTTTGAATACATGGTATGTGATGGTTTCCCTTTCCCTTTGTGACCAGTCAATTAATTGAGTATCTAATTCTGTATGAGTTTTTGTAGGAGTGCAATTTATATCAGCTTATGAAGGACAGAGCAAAGCTTTTCTCAGAATCCGAAGTAAGAAATTGGTGCTTCCAAGTATTTCAGGGTCTTGCTTATATTCATCGACGAGGATATTTTCATCGTGACCTTAAGCCAGGTGTTTTACTTTCCCATTTTTTTGTCTGTAAATGCTCTGGGTGATGGTGAAGAGTTGACTTAACTGAAACTATCTTAGTGAATGACATGAGCTGTACTCTCTCTTGTTTTCCTTTAAGCGTCCTTGATCATGAAGATCTTGTATATGTATGGTGATGCAGTGACCCTGCTCCCTTCCTTTTTTTCTTTTTATTTTTTTTCTCATTATATCTTTAGTGATGCATTCACCATGTCTCTTGGAAAAATAAAAATACATATTAGTGTTTGTTACGAGATTTTAGTATTAAGGCACCAAGGAAAATTGGAAGAGCTAATACAATATTTTTGTGATATATGTGCATGCAATCATGAAAATCTGCATATTATAGCAGTTGAATATGTCTTTTTATGTTTATGGAGTTTATGACATCATAGTCCAATTGGACCAATTCCATTGTGATCTAACCCATTTTTACATATGATACTGATGGTTGTCCAGAGAACTTGTTGGCTTCGCAAGATATAATTAAAATTGCTGATTTTGGTCTTGCTCGGGAAATCAACTCTCAGCCTCCATTTACGGAATATGTATCAACACGTTGGTCAGTATGCCTGGTCTTCTGTACCTTCATTGGTCTAAAACGTTAGTTTTTTTCTTCTGATCTCTGTTATGTGAGACTGCAGGTATCGTGCTCCTGAAATTCTTCTCCAGTCACCAATCTATGGTCCTGCTGTTGGTAAGTAATACATACTATACAATATCCGTTTCAGCTATTTCTTTCTGGATGTATATTGATTGTCTTTCAACACTGCAGATATGTGGGCAATGGGTGCTATAATGGCTGAGTTGTTTAGTCTTCGTCCTCTATTTCCGGGTTCAAGGTATGCATCTGTGGTTATAATATTGATTTCTTTGTGACTTGCATAAAAATGTATATAGAAGAGAGGAGGGATTGGTGGATTGGAGACTGTCATTTGCAAATCATTGCCTTTCTGTGACTGTCTGCTGTACGCTCATCTTCTTTGGGTGCAGTGAAGCAGATGAGATATACAAAATATGCAGTGTTATAGGGACTCCATCCAAGAGGGAATGGGCGCAGGGACTTCAACTTGCTAGTGCTATCAACTACCAATTTCCACAGGTCCACGTTGCTCTCCCTTGCTATGAAGATATCTACTGTTTCTGGATTCTTTTAATGAATTATTGATTGATTCTTAGAGGATTTTCATATTAGCTGAGCTCCCCCCTCCCTCATCCTTTTGCCTTTGAATTCCAGTGTATCTTTTAAATCATTGTAGAGAGGGTCTTTTTAATCTTTTCCATTGAAAGAAACTATAACTATTCCTTGGCTCAACATAAAAAATGCTGTTGTTAGATTAACTAACGAATCCATCTCATTTGACATCTGATTTTGGGTTGACACCTGCTTCCTTGTTTTATCTGGCAGATTGCTGGTGTAGATCTTGCCTTGCTAATTCCATCTGCCAGTGAGGATGCTGTTAGTCTAATCACGGTAAGAAGGGTTTAAAAGCATTTATATCACTATTCTGAATTGATCGCTACATGGTCATATATGGACAAGAGCTCCTTTGTTTCTGAAGAAACAGAATGGTGTATCTGATAGGTTGGGTTTTTATCTTATTTGTATTCTGCTGCAGTCTCTTTGTTCATGGGATCCTTGTAAGAGGCCGCCAGCCGTCGATGCTCTTCAACATCCTTTCTTCCAGGTGGCAAATTCCTCAACTTTTTTTAACCTAATGTACATAAGTTGGTGTTTTGTGTCTCTATTAAACTATATAATATCATTTATGATGCGACAGAGTTGTTTTTATGTACCTCCATCACTACGCACCAAGACTGCTGTTGCTAAGACTCCTCCGGGTTTGTGCTGTCTTTAGTATTGACTTGAAAGAAACTTGGGTTTTATGCTGCTTTATGATGAACCTAATAGGACTTTTGGTTGCTGTAGCTGTCATGAGGGGTGCATTGGAGCAAAAGTACGACAAGTGGTCGTTTGGGTCGTCACCCAACCCCAAGCCCAGTAGCAACTTCTCCACCGTTAAGTCACAGGTGCCTGTTAACACAGGTAACATATAAGAATCTGAAGGATTTTACAGGGGTCCAACTAAGCCGAGGGGCTATCTTTGCACAAAATTTTTAATATTTTTCTTTCCTAAATTTAATTGTGAAAGAACCATCTTTTTTGCTATACACAAATTTTTTATTCATTCTGATACTTATACAATTGTAATTTCACACAGTGACTCATGTAACAGGCGTACAAAGGAGGTTGGATATGAATTATCAGGTATAGTTGCCTTGTAAACAACCTTTAGTTACTGTTTACATCTGCCAGATGAATGCTGTGCATGGACATAGGTATTCTACTTGAATCTAATCTATGCAACTAATGTTCAGGAACCAATGAGGAATGATAAATCCCTGAAAGACTCTGTTAATCAACAACCAAAATACCGACCTCCTGTAAGGAATGTCCCAAGTAAGTTCTATTCAACTTAATATTTTTTCACATGTCTCTTGGCTAGAACTCCCACCCTCTTCTAATTGTGGAACAAAATACTTTGGTTTTACTTGTACAATTGTGTCCCTCCCTAAAGCTTTTTATTTTTATTTTTTTTGGCTTGGCAGTGGTTGGTTCTGGAGTGACAACTCGTGCCATTTCGGATGCAGCTGAGAAGCTGGCGAACGTGAGCATTGGCTCTGGTAGAGGACCTACAAAGCAGCCAGTATTTAAGCCAATGAAGGCAGGAGGGTGGCATGGGCATCAGGACTTGTTCCATGGACGGTCTCAAGAGTTTCTTCCTGGAAGAAGCTATTCAAGGAAAGTTGCTGGATGAAGAATGTTATAAGCTTGAGTGTCGTATTCTGTTCAAGTGTTATTTAGCGATAGTAGTCTTTATGTACATGGCTCAGTTTGATGTTACTTTGGTGAGCCAGCAGTCTAGTGCTTTGCAAGTTTGTTTCATTTTGGAGATACTGTCACATCTACGTTCAAGATGTTGAATAAATGTGTTTGCTTGTTTTGGTGATACTATCATTTCTACATTCAAGTATTATTGAATAAATGTTTATGCGTATGAGATACTGATAGTGTAAAAGATTCTTGCTATCTGTGTATTTTATGTAATTTAAAATCTTGTAGCTGTTGTGCATAATGTAAAGTTAAAGTCGAACAAAGCACTTCCCAGAAACAAGTTTGATTAAACAATATTACTAGTCACAAAATACGTAGTAATTTTAATTTGGTTTCCTCAACTTTTTCATTAAGCCAAGCTAAAGATCAAACCAGAAGCATAAAAATGTAAAAGAAGCCAAAAGAATGAAACAATTAACAAAACGAAAACGTAGCTTACTAATAAAAACAAGACACTATGATCATCATCATTCATTATCCACTTGATGATCATGCCTACTTCGAACGCGGAAGCAAAATCTTGAATTGTTTCGATCCCAACGAAGCGCAATCACATCATCTTCTTTTAAATTCCTTCTCTTGACAAAGTAGGGGGTCCAGCTTTTGATGAGTTGAAAACTATCGGTTGCCCATTTCTTCAGCGTCAAAGAATACTCTGATTGTGTATCCAAATCCCAGACATTAACATCAGTTCCACATAACTTTTGGCAATCTGTAGCCTTTTGTTCATCCAAATAAGGTATAACGTAAGTCGTCACCTCTTGTCTCGGCAACAAAAGCCTTGAAGATCCATTCACATCACTCTTTGTCAACTTCTTAATTATCCAGTGCTCTTCCTCTACCGCCGCTGCTGCCGCAGGGGCCACCGGCCGTAAAAGTAAACGCCGTTTCTTGATAGGAACAAGTTTCCGATCTTCTCCTTTTCTTTTTAAAACAGGACCGATATTAGGTTGATGGAACAACCTTTTGGAGGCACAAGAATCTTGATTAATGATATTCGGGGAATTAGAATTGGAGGGCAGCGTCGAGGTTTCGGGTATTGTACCTGGTACAGAAAGACAGAGATCAGTTGAAGGCAGCGGCGATGATGTTGATGACGGAGGATAATTATTTACAAAGTGTTTCGAAGCAGTAGCTAGGTTTTCTGAAAATTCTGGAAAGAGAGACAATGTTCTGGGTTTAGAAGCAGCTTGGTTTTGTGGAAACAGAGACAAAGTGGGGAGTTTGGTGTCGTAGTGATTGTCGTCAAAGGTGGAGATGCATGAGAAATTACTAGCAGTAGTGGAATTTGTTGATGACGACTCATGAGGATAAGCATAATCAATTGGTTCTGCCTTTATAACACTGTTATCTGAAAATTGTGGAAACAGAGACAACGTTTTGATATCGTCCTGAATGGTGTTCATGGTCATGCACGAGAAAGTAGAATTGTAGGGAATGATAGCTTTGTTTTTATCATCACCCTCTTCCATGGCGCCGTAACAATAGCTGGTAATATGCAAAGCACAAAGCAGAATGAAGAATGGAGGCTCTGTCATTACCTTTTTATAGATTTTTATTATATTTCTCCCATAGAAACTCAAATTGGGATTAAGGTTTTCCCAGGTTTTTCTGTTTCATAGGCAATATCAGACTAACCCTTTTATTCCCAATCAGAATAGGAAATTGAAGGGACTCACCCCCATTTACCTTTCTTGATAACCTCTATTTTTGTGTTGTTATAATAATTTGAAATGCCGAGTGTTTAGTATATTGTGATCAAATTGTATAATAGGAGTGTTTAGCTTCACTGAGAAATATGTAATAAATGCTGCTTCTATTATGGTGATATATATGAGAAAAATTAAACATATGAAATGCGTGTACAACTGTTACATATTTGCAATAAGATTATATTATAATTGAGAAATAAAATTGTGATAATGTCGGATGTTTCTAAATGCAATTTGATTTATAATTTGGGTATGTCTAATTATGAAAGTTACTAGCGGATAAATTTTTTTGATTTATAAAATCAGGAAAGTTTTAGACTACTAAAATTAGTGTTGTAAAACGCAAAGATGGTAACTTAATTAACTTTGTAATTTGAGAATTGAACATCCAAACATGATTTTAGTACTTTTCAATATGCTTAGTTTTCAACCTTATTTTAGTATTGTCAACGCATTCGCCATCTCTTGGCTAGGAACTGGGTGGTCTCTATTTGATCATATCTATGGGAGGCTAATTCAGTAGATGATGGTTTAGCCAAGAGCCTTGTTTGGAATGGCATGTACTTGTAGCTTCTTATATTTCTTCGCGTGTTCGGGAAAATATTGTTGAGGTTTCATTTTGTCGCTTGTTCTTTAGCTAGTTTTTGTTTGTTGATTTGTTTCTGTTTCGATAGAAAAAATATGCTTGCGAAATAATTAAACTAATATGCCTCCTAAAGTAATTTGATAATTATTGAACTTCTAAAATAATAATTATATTAATCATGTTACGACCCCAAAACCTAACACGTTGTGATGACGCCTATCGTGGTACTAGGCAAGCCAACATTTTTAAAATAATTTCAAAGTTTAACATAAATGAGTTAAGACATTTAAAATAACCGGAGTTTACATAGCAATGGGGTGAACCCCAAAACACAAGTGCGGAATACTAGCTCGACATCGGGGTGTCACTAAGTCATGAGCATCTAACAACCAGTCTAGAAACAAAGTCTACAACTGTCTGTGCCAAATGCCAATACAAGAGAGAAAAGATAATAAGAAAGGAGAGACAAGGACTGCGAACGCCGGCAGCTACCTCGTAAATCTCCGGTACTCGACCAAGCACGAGCTCAACAACCTCCGTGGCAAGACACACCTGGATCTGCACATAAAGTGCAGCGTGTAGCGTGAGTACAACCAACTCAGTAAGTAACAGAAACAAATAAGGAACTGAGAAGCAGTGACGAGCTATACAAGTACAGTTCAATTCAGTAAACTTCAGTAAAGAATAGACATGCTTTCAAATCCGGCAGTTTAAGTCAAATCAGTTTTATACAACTTCAAGTTCAAGTAAACCGGATACAAATATTCCAGAAATTTCACAACAATAACAGGCATCAACTAAGTACAACAACAAGTGAAAGCAAGTATAACCTCCCAAGGCAACAGTCACTCAACTCATCTCAACAGCTCAATCACTCAGCTCTCTGCCGTCAGTACTCACACTCAATAGGTACCTGCGCTCACTGGGGGTGTGCAGACTCCGGAGGGACTCCTACAACCCAAGTGCTATAATCCGCAGGAACAACCCACATGTTGCACAGACAACTCACGTGCTATAACATCATATCAAGATCCGCACGAACAACTCATGTGCTACAGTATCAAATCGAGATTTGCACGGACAACTCACGGGTTACATTATCAATACCTCACTCTCAAGCCTCGGCCTCACTCAGCCATCAACCTTCCTAGTCTCTCGGGCTCTTAGAAATCATATAAATCAGCCCAAACAAAGATAATAATATGTATCAACAAGTAACAAGAAGAGATGGAGGTATCATAAGCAATTAAAGTCATGACTGAGTACAAGACAACAAATAGTAGCTAAATCAACTAGTGTATGACCTCTGCGGGTCCCAACAGTGATATCATATGGCCTAAGCATGATTTCTAGCATGAATTGCAGTCAAATCTCCATGAAACAGAGGGAACATGTAGTTAATAGTAAGCTGTCCATCTTTATAGTCTCACGAGACGGACCAAGTCATAATCCCTTCAGTGCACACCCACACACCCGTCACCTAGCATGTGCGTTACCTCCAAAATAGTCACATGATACCAAACTCCAGGTTTTCATACCCTCAAGACTAGATTTATAACTGTTACTTACCTCAGTCCGAGTAAAACTCTACTCCAAAATGCCCTTGCCTCGTGAGTCAGCCTCCGAATATCCTGAATCTAGCCACAAGCAGTACAATACAATTAATATAGGCTAAAAGGATCAATTCTACAATCAAACTACTAAATTAGACCCAAAAATCCGAAATTGGCTCAACTCGGCCCTGGGGCCTACGTCTCAAAATTCGACAAGTCACCAAACTCGAAAGCCCATTCACTCACGAGCCTAACCATACCAAGTTTACTCAAATTCGATAACAAAATCTCATTCAAAACATCAAAATCCTAATTCAAGAGTTCTTCCTCTTTTTCCCCAATTTCTCACCCCAAATCACAAACTAGATGATAAAATCAAAGATATAATGATGGGATTTAACCAAAACCAAGTAAGAAACACTTACCCCAATCAACTCCGTAAAAATCCCTTCAAGAATTGCCCAAATCCGTGATCTCTCGCTCAAAATATGAAAAATGGGCTCAAACCCTCGTTTTTAAAATTAATACTATCTGCCTAGATTTTCTTCTTCGCGAACATGACCGTCCTCTTGCGTTCGCGCAGACCAACTCAGACTGCCTCTCAGCTTTACTCTTCGCGAACGCGACCAATGCTTCACGAACGCGAAGCTTTGCAAACTCAGACCTTCGCAAACACGACCCTTACCTTGTGAATGCGTAGACCAAGAACCTGGGGATCCCCAGCTTCCTCACTCCTCTCCGTGAACGCGACACCACTTACGCGTTCGCGATGCACACACTACCATACATTCGCGTTCGCGTCTTCTCCTTCGCAAACACGTAGAACAAAAATCCCACTAGCTCAGAAACACTCTTCGCGAATGCGAGTCTCTTCTTGCGAACGCATAAGAGGACACCAGAAAAACATAACAGCAGATATCAGCTATCTCTCAAAGGCCAAAAATGATACGTTCATCACCCGAAACTCATCCGAGGCCCTCGTGACCTCAACCAAACATACCAACACGTCCTAAAACATTATACGAACTTAGTCGAATCCTCAAATCACCTCAAACAACATTAAAAACACGAATTGCACCCTGATTTAGGGCTGTGCATAATTTGGTAAATACCGAATTACCGTACCAAAATAAAAAATTTTGGTATTTGGTATTCGATATTTTGGTATTAGGTATGGTATTTGGTTTAAGTTTTAATTAGGTATGGTATTTGGTATTTTAAAATAAAATACCGAAATACTGTTACCGACCGAAATATATATTATATAATACAATGCACATATTATTAATAATAACATAAATATAAAATCTAAAAATTTTCTTTCCTTTATTCTCTAAGTTGATCAATTAATTCTAAGCAAGTAACAAGACATTTCTAATGATCAAATTTATTCTTTTATGTACAGTTTTCTATCTCTAAGTTGATATTTGCTAGTTTTAAACAAAACTTTTGTCAACAAATGTTTAGTTTTGTACTTTTGAGTACTTTAATTTAGAATATTATAGTCTATGGTTAAATGCACTAGTTAGTATTCAAACCGAAGTTACCAAACCGAATAAACCGAAACCAAAAGGAGAAAAACCGAACCATACCGAATTTAATTAGGTACGATATTGGTATTGCATTTTAAGAAACCGAATATGAAAAATACCAAACTGAAATGTCTAAATACCGTATCTTACCGACCGACGAATACCCCTACCCGGATTCAAGCCTAATGAACTTTGAAATTTCCAAATTCTACAAACAATGCCAAAACCTATCAAATCACGTCCGATTAACCTCAAATTTTGCACACAAGTTATAAATGACACCACGAACCTACTCCAACTTCCAGAAATCAAATCCGACCCCGATATCAAAATTTCCAATGCGGGTCAAATTCGTCAAATTCCAACTTTTGCCAATTCAAGCCTAATTCTACTACGGACCTCCAAAACACAATTCGGACACACTCTTAAATCCAAAATCACCTAATGGAGCTAATAGAACCATCAAAATTTAAATCCTAGGTTGTTTACTCATAAGTAACATCCGGTCGATATTTCCAGCTTAAACTTCAAAATAAGAGACTAAGTGTCCCAATTCACTCCGAAATCACTCTGTACCCAAACCAACTAATCCAGAAAGCCATAATATAGCTGTAAAACATAAAAGAAGCAGAAAATAGGGAAAAAGGGCTATAACTCTCGAAACGACCGGCCGGGTCATTACATCTTCCCCCGCTTAAATAAAACGTTCGTCCTCGAACGGGTCTAGAAACATAACTGGAGTCTCAAATATGTGTGGATATCTGCTCCGCATCTCCCGCTCTGTCTCCCAAGTAGCCTCCTCCATGGGATGACCTCTCCATTGCACTTTCAATGAAGCTATATCCTTAGACCTTAACTTTTGAACCTGCCGCCCCAAAATGGCCACCGGTTCCACATCATAAGTCAAATCACTATCCAACTGGACTGTGCTGAAATCCAAAACATGAGATGGGTCACCGACATACTTCCAAAGCATAGAAACATGAAATAATGGATGCACACTTGATAAGCTAGGTGGAAAAGTAAGCTCGTAGACCACCTCCCAATCCTCCAAAGCACCTAAAACGGCCTAATAAAACGAGGGCTCAACTTGACCTTCTTCCCAAATTGCATAACACCCTCCATGGGTGAAACCTTCAGCAGAACCTTCTCCCCAAACATGTAAGACACATCACGGACCTTCCTGTTAGCATAACTCTTCTATCTCAACTGCGCTGTGCGAAGCCGCTCCTAAATCAATTTCACCTTGTCCAATGCATCCTGAACCAAGTATGTACCCAAAAGCCTAACCTCACCCGGCTCAAACCATCCCACCGGAGATCTACACTGCCTCCCATACAAAGCCTCGTACGGAGCCATCTTAATGCTTGACTGATAACTTTTGTTGTAAGCAAACTCCACGAGTGGCAGAAACTAGTCCCATGAACCCCCGAAAT